CAAGGGACAAAAGGTCAAAGATCAAATGGTCGCAGGACAAAAGTTCGAAGAGCAAAAGGTTGAAGGACAAAGGGTCAAAGGACAAAAGGTCGAAGGACAACAGGTCGATGGACAAAAAGTCGAAAGGACAAAAAGTCGAAGGCACAAAAGATCGAATGGACTAAAGGTCAAAGATACAAAAAGTTGAAGTGATAAAATGTCGAAATGACAAAAGATCGATAGGACAAAAGGTCGAAAAGACAAACAAAACGTTAAATACTGAATAAAGCAAGAAGACATACCGATCCAAGATGGCGGCTTCTAGTTAGTGAAAAAGTGACAAATAACCCCAAAATATGAGTATTTTTGGGATGGAAATGACATGTAGAGGGGGAAAATCGATGATCGATGCCGTTTTGGAACGTATTTACGAAACAGGAGCAATATTTCTACTGCCCATATATGAAAATCCTTTTATATTCCACCCATGTCAAATCACCAAAAACGGCATCACGCAGTTGGTATCAAAAATCAAAATGGCTAGTATGCCATACTATATAAATAAAAAATTGTCTAATATGAAAAAAAAATCACAACGACATGGCTTCCAATAGCTTTCTCATCGTTTTTTTTTTTTTTTTTTATAACTAAACAGTAATTCCTTAGAGGTAGTGGCCCCTTCTTCAGTCTACAAAGCATATCAGTTCCAATTGAAAAAAAAAAACAGCAAGCCGTGAAAATCGCTGTTGAAATTTCATTTTTCTATATATATTTTTATGGATGGGACAACCTTGATTTGGTAATTTTTACGACATTTTCTGAACAAAGCATGTAACTTTTAGTGCACAGTGAATAGTTCTGGAATTTTTAAATTGATTCTAATCGATAACTCATTTCTGACAAAAATCAACAAAGGACTGTTATGCTTTTACGGACAGTATAGTAACTATATATTTTCTTGATCCGACGATCCAATATGGATGGAAACATAGGATCAAGTAACATATACTTGCCCAAAATCGCATATCAGTCCCCCCATATTTGCTTGATTTCCTATATATATATGGGACAATACCCAAGTAACCAAAAGTTCCGATAAAAGGCTATTTGTGGCTTAAGCAGCTTGGTTGTAGGTGGTCAATAGAATTCTAAGCAGCCTCATTTTTAAGTCGTTATAAGAACTTGAAAGTTCCGGTACGATAATTGAAGAGCATTCTAAGCAGCTTCTGGCGGAACTTGAACGGAACTTTTAGAAAATAAGTTACAAAAAGGTTTTTGTCCTCTACACCAATTTTATATTTAGTTCGCAGTTTATGAAAGTTAATTTTAAAGTCAGGTATGAACGTGTATTGATTTAATCAGCATTAGTAGTAGTATTGGAGCTGTTTGAAGAATTACACCCAGTCCTTCTGCGTGAGAGCCCCAGCACGAACCACTACGTCATTTTTAAAGTGAGCTGCAGCGTTGCCAGTATTCCAGATTTATCTGGATTTTCCCGATTTTTAGTAGTCTTGCCAGATACACAGACAGACAACGATGTTTCCAGATTTTTAAAATATTTTCCAGATTTTCCCAGACTTTTTAAACATGTTGCTTTAAAATATCACTGCAATTGATCTACCCTCTAATAAAAAAAAAATAAAACTTGCTACTTTAATTATTAAAGGCCATCAACGTTGGACATTATTGGAATTTTAAGGTCATTCTGAAAATAGTTCACAGTGGACAAGGAAGTAGGCCGCGCGATTGAAATGACGTGTTTTGATTTTGCTAAAAAAAAGTCTATGTGTTTTTATGGTTTTTATCAATTTGAACGATTAAAAAAACTCTAAAATTGATTGTGTTATTCCGGATTTGTATCTGAAGGATGAAAAGTGGAAGAGGCTGATAGGCAAACAGAAGGTCATCAAGATGGAGTGAATCAAGTGGGCCGCCATCCGGGAAGTTGAAGCATTTGAGTAAGGGTTGGTCGCCGGTAAGGGCCAGTAAGTGCTGCCAGCAGATGAATCAAGAGGTATTCGAAACAAAATTGGTAAGAAATGTCCATTCAAATCGATTTAATACAGTTGAACAAATTTCAAAACTATATACGTGCCAGATTTGGAAATAATATTTTTGAATCTGGAAGTGTGTTTATGATACCATTATCCATTTGATAAAGGTAGAGTGAACATGCGGGGCTTATTGTAAGTAAAAGTGACCTCGGAGTGGTCGTGAATTACCAGGCATTCTGAAATGGGTCACTGGAGCTGCAATAGAGCTAACACCTTCTAACTCCCGGACTAAACCTGCTTTAATTTAAGGGTAATAAAAAGCAGTTTTCTTCCATAATAACACTGCCGGACAGTGGGGGTTAGATTGTACACACACACACACACACACACACACACACACACACACACACATTCTGAAAATAGTTCACAGTGAAGGGTGAGGCGAATTCCTTGTGTAATCAAAGGAGAACTTCAAGCTAATTCTGAGTAGAGTTCCATCTATCTTTTCGGCCTTCGTGGTCGTGCGGCGTCACCCGTCGTTCAGGCGTATTGTGTGTGCCACGAAGTAAGGGTTCGATTCCCGCTCCAGCCGGTACATAATTTGACAACCTGAAAATTTCCCTACTGATCTACTGGGTGTGATGTGATGTTCATTGTTTAGTGTTAAATACTCAGTCTGTACAACCTCTGGTTGAAGGCGGTTTCAATTGGCTTCTCAACTCTGTTGACAATTGCGTGGAGATTTTGTGAATATAGGAAATACAATCCGGAAGAGAAATCATAGAAAATTCTTAAGATGAAACTTGAGGAGTAGGGTAGATCAATGATAGGTTGGTTCCGATGCGTTAGTTCATTAGCTACAACATAACCCTGTTAGAGCGCATTGTATGAATATTTACGCTCATTGTTCTCAAAATAAAAGAAGCGCTCCTAGCTAATCCCATTTTCCTACGTTTATCCGTAGGACGAAGAAAATCTAAATGTGTTTCAATGCGTTAGGACGGAATTGAAACTCGTAGAACAAATTCTTTATCAAATCCACCGGTATGGAAAGGTGAATAAATTTAGAAGACATCTTTGACAGGGTAAAGGTATTCCATTTTTTGTTTAAACTCGTTCGGAAAAGAGAGGTAAAGCGTGGGTTGTGCTTAGTAGGGCGGAAATTAGGTCAAAAAGCCTATGCTGATACGAATGGTAGGAATAATTTCAATGAATTTTCTGTCCAATGTTTCTATGAAGATTCATTTTAATAATATTTTAAGACATTTTAACGGAATTATGCGCAATTTTTGGGAGACTTTCAAGGCCATTTTGGTAAAGTACTTGAGTACTCAGGAAATACTGAAGAGGATTTCAAAATAATTCTGACCTTACCTACAACGCAGTTCAAAGGGAATTATCGGATAGGTCTGAGAAGAGTGTGACGGTCATTCTGAAAAGTGCATCAAGGAAATTATTAAGAATATTTTAAGAATTTCATAAGGAAAACTGGACACAGGGAGTCCAGGGAATTGTGGAATTGTAGAGTAATGTATAAGAGATTAAAAAAGGTAATGCTATGCATTCTGCTATGAATGTTACTGGAAGAGATTATTTTAGGGGAATCCAGAAAATTTAGGATCATTCAAATGGAACTCAAAAAAAAGGGCGAAGATATCCTGTGAAGAGTTCCAAGTAAATTCAAACTAACAAAAAATTTCATGATCTGGAACCCAGGAAAAATAGAAATTCCGGAATTTATGATCATTTCAAGATCCTGAGACTTCAAAAATGACGCTATCAGACTTTCATTTTAGTAATATAATAAAATTATTCTTTGGCATAACATTATTCGTAATATTTATGCACGAATGGTACAGTTACCTGTAGGTTAGGTAAACTTAAGCCAGGTGAATTTTGCTCCAAAATAAAATTGCCTATTGGGTGTTGTGTGTTGTATTGAATTAAATTGTAAATCTGATCAACCCCAGGGTAATATTAGAATTATTTAGAACTAATAAAATCTTTATATTCTGGTACTGCATCAAATCGTAAGGACTACATCGACTTTAAAAAAATCCATCCCATCAAATTTGCTAAATTCTTTTCTTCTCATTCTTTAAAAAAAAAGTTGTATTTTAAAAAACAATTCTAAAAATATTTTCTACACTTTTTTACCCACATTTAATTCAATTTTTGAACTGCTGCGTAATTGATATTTAAACTTTTTGGCCACACTGTGTCAATACTTTTCAACTTTTAGATGATTTAGCAATGCTAACAACTTTGACTATATGTTTAGTATTACTTCTGCGTGAAGTCAACGATTTACATAGTTGAAGATGCTAATTTCAAATAACAGACTGAAGTGGTATTTTTTATACGATAGATGAGGAGATGAAAGCATAGAATTGATAGTTCCGTTTAGAGTACGGTAGTGTGAAAATTGGATACAGAGAGTAGAAAGCGAGCTAGACAACTTTTAGGAAGGTACAAATCAGTTTAATCATATCTCTTTACCAAACTCCCCCTTTGGAGATGGAGGGTGAGGGGTGTCCCTCCCCCCGCCACCACTTGCAAAAAGAGATGATCGTCGACCCGCTCATGTACCAACGATGTGTTTCTACTCTATAATTTATTTAAACTAGTAATTCATAACGATTCTAGTACTTCAAATAAATTCCAGCTGATCATACTGACCAATTTTTACGGAAGATTGGCACTTCACTTTGATTTCAATAGCATCATGTTAAAAACAGGATATTTTGGAGCATTCCAGATTTTTCCAGATTTTATATTTTAGCTGGTCCAGATTTTTCTGAAAATGACCTGGCACCGCTGGTGAGCTGTTGTCCCACCTATTGCTGGAGTTTCAACCACAGCAATGCGACATATACTAAAACTCTGAAATGTGACCTAATAAAGATAAATAATAATAATAATAACTCTGAAATGTTTTCAAATTTCATAAACGCGAAAAAAAAATCTAAATAAAGACAGTTAACTAAAACAAACTGTTAAAAGAAAAACTCGTACTAAGATACTTACTGATAGTATACAAAGACTCCAGTTCCGGATCACGATTTTTGAAGATCTTATTGTTCTGCAAGGTGCTCGAATTAAGCCCTCCGGGAGTACCGTTCATGCGGAACCCGTTGCTACCGTACAGCCCATCCAGATTATTATTATGATTTCCTATCACAGGCGACGAGCTCATCGGTTTCAACGAGTGACTCGTAGGAGACGTTAGCAAGTTGTACGAATTGGTGGCCTGTTGCAGTTTATGGCTGCTGTTGATCAAATCCGGTGTTGGTAAAATGCCGGGATTATTATTTTCCGTATCAGAAACGTGGCCACTCGAAAGCCCATCCTCGAGAACCGGCATGCTAGTGTAATAGCGTGCATAGTTACTGGCGTTGCCAACCGCTGCCGTATTCACTCCATTATCAATCATCGTGGAAGAGTTGATCCCAGTGGATGCACTTATGACACCATTATTCAGATCGTCGCACATCATATCACTACCACCGTTAGCCATCATACCATACTCGCTGCCGTACTTGAGAGAGATCTCGCTATCGTAATCGCCGCAGTTGCTCTCGTAATCGGTAGTATCCGGGGAATAGTTGAAGTTTTTACTATGACGACGAGTCAACGGCTTTTTGCCGTTTCCAGAACCCCCACCACCGCCGCCGTTGCTCTTCATTTTCATCCCGTTTCCGTTCGCAATGAACTGCGTCGAGTCGAGATTACTTTCATTAATCACATCACAACTGCTGGCACGGCTTCCGGGATCCAAGTACAGGCTAAAATGTCTTTCGTGTTCCTGATACTGCTGCGGTTGCTGTTGATGCTGTAGCATCACGTGCTGCCGCACATTGCTCAGATGTTGTTGCTGCTGCTGCTGCTGCTGTTCCTGAGATTGTTGCTGTAGTCGTTGTTGCTGCTGTTGGTGGTGGAGGAAACTATGATGATGATGATTCGCACTATAAATATCTATTTCTTCTTCATCCTCTCCATCGTTATCGTCATCATTTTCGCCACTAACGGTAACTATTCCGGCTAAAACGTTCGAACCAACGCCCGCGAGTTTCTTTTCCTGTTTCTTCTTCCGGAAGCTGGTGTAACCGTTTTTGATTCTTGGTTTGCTCTTGACGTTGATCATGTACTTCAGATTACTACCAATGCCACCATCGGCGTCATCGTCGTCGTCGTCTTCGTCATCCTCCTCACCTTCTTCTTCACCTTCTTCCAATTCCTCACAAACATCGTCATCATCGCCATCCCCATCGGCGTCGCTATTATTGTTATTGGTTGGTGATTTGCGAGATGCAATTGCCGCACAGATGTCCTGCTGCTGTCTGATACTGCCGCCGGTACCGGTCAGTGTCGTCATTGGTTTCTGCTGCTCCGTGACGGTAGCTGCACCGATGTAGGTCGTCTCCAGTGCTTTTCCATCCAGCTCAACCGGATACTCATAATGGATGTCCTGTGTGTGCGGTAGAAATGAGAAGAGAAAACCAGAAAATGGGTTAACATTTTTGGGACATGGACATGGCTCATTTTGTTTGATTGAAATATATGCCTCAGTCGGTATGACCGTCTGATGAAATTGGGATAGAATGGATTGCCCTGGCGGAATAACGTACACCGCACACCGTAAGTGTTGTTACGTGTTTTCGTTGTCATCGCGTCATGTCGCAGGCTTGCGGTCAGAATTGATGGAAAGCTTTTTCCATTTTATCTTACAAGCAGTGCAAGCAGCTTGTCGTCGATGGGATCAGCAAGTTCCAGACACGGTTTCGGCATTAAAACGCAGTGTACATGATTTTTGCCGGTTTATATTTGAATCAAGGGATCAATTGATTAATTGCTCTATCACGTATCAAAAAGCAAACATGGTCAAACTTTCAAGCATTAAATGAAAATGATTTATCATCTATAGCCGTAGAACAGAAGGGGAATTGCTAACAAATCGGTGAATCAAAAAGTGGCTCGTTTTTTTGCCCAACAAGCGATGCGTTGTGGTAGCATTCCACACGGGCTTCTATATGCACTAACACCATCATAGCATGCTGCCTATCTTAACTGTAGGCAGTAGATGCCTTCTACCGCTAGGTGCGTTAGTGGAGCCACTTTCTGATCCGAAGTTCCACTTCTGTTCTGTGCTATAGCTCTATTGCGCTGTTAACCCATTAACGGCAAAGGTGTTCTACAATTGAGAAATAGCCACGAAATTGGAGTCGGAGTCGGACGCATTTTTGAGCAGCTCGAAGAAAAAGTACCGACTACGACTGTTATGAAAAAATAATGTGAAACTACATCCTAATTTGGTTCACGTGCAAATGTTTTGGATCATGAACGATTCGATTGAATTTGAATGCCCAACATGAACCGTCTAAGGCCAGCTGTCTAAACTGATTTTGATATAATGAACCTTCTCATACCACAATTATAAACGTAATAAAGCATTTGCAGCAATGTTCGTATTTGATATTAAATTTCAAGTTTCACGAGAGCATGATGTAAAAGTATTATTATTTTCCAAATGAGCACGGTTTATAAAGCTATTTTTGGTGAAACATGCAAGTGAGACAAAAATATAAAATCTCAATGAATGGAAATATACATATTCAGATTATTTAAATAATTTCCCTGAAATTTCTAAAAAAAAATGTTTGCTGCATTATTTAAGGCGGACAACGTCAAGGGATGGTTAAGGCCCAAACGCAATGTGGGCGGAAGCAGAACGGAAACGGAAAGTTTGACAGTTGTCATAAATGACATCAAGGACAGAACCCGCCAGCTGCTAGTGAAAAAATAAGACCATTTGCCTGCCAGAAACGGCCACTTTAAATTGGTCGAATTGACCTAAGAGGAAAAGGAGACAACTGACTTCTAATTATTTTATCTCAATATATCTTTATCTCTATCTTACGCACTTCAAATCGGTCAATCATGAGCTGGTTCGCGTTTGACGAAAAAGTTGTTCGTTTTCGCCCCGTATTGTCTCCTCTTCCTCTTAGGAATTGACAAACGCCTGCTATCACCAGCGCTGCCGGATTGTTTTCAAGATTATCGGTATCAAAGGTTTAAAAAAATCGATATTTATCGATATTTTATTTTTTTAATTAATTTCATATTTTTGCCGTTATTGAAGGCGAAAATTCAAACTTTTGGACCAAGAACGAACATTTTGCTTGGAAGTCGGCAGAAATTTGCGGCGAGTGTTTAAATTAGTTTCAGAAGGAAGCCGAACAAAATTCCAGAGAAAGAATAAAGAAGCTCTTCTGGAGGAAGTTTGAAGAAGTTCTACGAAAGGTCGGAAAAAACATCCGGGGAACTTCCAAGACAAATATTGGGAAACTTTTGACGAACATTTAAACAAGCTATCGGAAAAATATCGGATGACACATCCATAGGATGCCAGAAAATATTTGGAATTCGGAAACAAATTCCAGAAGTAGAAGCTCAGAAGAAGCTCAGAAAAACTTGCTATTGGAAGTCAAAAAAAAACTCTTATGGAGAAACTCCCAGAAGAAGGCGAAAGAAATGTCTACAGATACATTCTGTAGAAGCTTGATTGAACCTTCTTGAGTAGACGAATGAAGCTTCCTAGAAACGCTGGAAGAAACGTCGTATGGAAGATTGGAATAAACTTTTGGAGAAAGTCGGAAGTCAGAGGGACAGTCGAAAGAAAATTCAAGTTGAGAAAAAATGCCGGAAGAAAGAGATTTCTTGGAAGTGTGCGAACAACATTCCCTGGAGTTCCTTACATGTTCTAATGATTCAGAAATTTTCCTGATATTTATAAAATATACCTGACGACCCCGCAATGTACCTGAAGTTTTCGGAATGTTCCTGAAATACACTTCGGAATATCCCGAAAGTTCTTACAATTTTCCTAAAGTTATTTGTGCTGTTTTGTAGTTCTCTTCTGATCATCCTAGAAGTATTTGGAACTTCCCTGATTATAATGAAACTACCGGAAAATCTCTAATCTTCTTTGAAGGCCTCTGGACTTTCTGGAACATTTCGAAACTTCTTAAATACTCTCACAATTTAATTGAAATTAATTTAACATCAGCATTGAAGTTCTCTGATCTACCCGAGGATCTACCCGATTTAATTACCATTTTTAAAAGTTCTCGAAACTGCCATTAAAATGCACGAACCTCCCTTAAAATATTCGCACATTTTCCTAATGTTCATGTTAGTTCCTTTACGTTTCCAAAATGTTACCTCTTGGAACTTAGCTGAAGTTTTTGGACATTCAGTACTTTAATAGAAATTAATTGATCTGTTCAATTAACATGAAACAAATTAAACTGTCCTGAATACCATTAAATTTCCCTGAAGTACTTTGGACTTTAAAAAAAATTCCAAAATATGTCTGATGTTTTTTTAATTTCATTGGAGTTCTCTATACTTTTCTGAACTTTGCAGGTTCTCGAATTTTAACAAAAGTAAATGAGCCCGTCTTAATTAAGCGGAACTTACCCTGACAGATCTTTAAACTTACCCAAAAGTCTGGAGTTTTCTGAAGATGCAGAACTTATTAAAAGTTCCTGCGGTTTTCTTGAAGCTAATACTTAGAAAAGCAATAAAACTCTGGAAGCATCCCTGAAGTTTCGGGGAAGCTGAAAACAAAACTGGCAGTAGAAAACGGGAAAACCTTCCTAGAGAAGCCAGAAGAAGCTTCCAAGGGAAGTCGAAATAACTTTCCGGTAAGAATCGGTAAATAACCTACGGGGTAAAGTGGATGAAAATTCCAGGGGAAAGATGGAATAAACTTCAAAGGGGAAAATAAATAAACATCAGGAAGTTATAAAACTAACATGGAGTTCACTGAATAAAAGTATTCAGCTGTTTTTCGACTGATGGTTAGCCGAAAACGGCTAGGAAATGGAAACATTAGTCGAAAGAGTATCAAGCAAAACACATTTTTATAGATAAATAATTTTTTGAGCAGACTCAAAAAAATTTAGATAATCAAAAAGCTAAAAATCTATCACTATAGTTTCATCTGACAGTTCAGCGGGCAGAGAGACATTGATTATTTATAAAAATCAGTATAAATCGGTATAAAATCTCAAAAATCGGTATTCTGTGAAAGCTTATTTTTTGGTATTGGTATTGTAATGGCGAACGTTATAGTTTGTTTCGCAGTGTTGTGATAAATATTTATTAAATTAAGTGTGAAATTGTGCTTGTGCCGCGGTAGAATTGATCCTACGCGTGCCCCGTAGTGATAACACTAGTTTACAGCATTTTTGAACTCGGTAAGGTGATGATCATTTCCAATGCAAAATCCTACGCTGAATTCAATGCCGTGGTCAGAAAAATTTAAAGTAGAGCCATTTTTGAGATATACAAAAATTTTGATTTTTTGAATTTTGGACAAAAGTACGATTACTAAAATGTCAATATCTTTGGAACTAGTGCACCAATTTTAAATCTTTTTTATGAAAATGAAGCTAAATAAATTTGCTATCCACTAGAATATTATGTCTTGATTAAAAATTTAATTTTGACGTCATTTAAAAATTTACAGCATTTTTTTTATTTTTCCTGCGAATTTTCCATAAAAATCTTGTTTTAATCAACATTTTTAATGGGATAAAAAGATTCAAAAATCATTCCATAATTTATTCTTAAAGTCCATTCAAAACCGGAGAAAATGAGCCTTTAATGGATGAAATCGGTTGGAAATTGTCGAAGTTATGAGCATTTTTGTAAAACACTTAAAAATGTTGCTGAAATACAACAGCTTTAGAGTTCCTTTTCTAGGTGTCGTTGTAAGCATCCAAATCGCATGTAAATTTTTCATGGGAGATTCTTTTCTCTACATATCAATTTGATTAAGGCATTTCAGGATTTAAAACCGAGTTGATACAAAAGAAATTTATTTAGGTTTTATTAAAAATGATTGAGAATCGAATGACTTTGTCTTCGATGTTTTGAACTTGTTTCTCGAATCAGAAACCAACAATAGTCACCCATCATTGCTTCATCCCAAAACCCTTGGTAACGACGTTCCATCATCTTCATTTGTTGGTGAAAACGTTCGCCGTGCTCATCACTCTCGTCACCAAGATTTTCTGGGAAAAAATCCAGGTGAGAATGTAGGAAATGTATCTTCGAAGACATATTCACACCTGTGTTCAGTGAAATAAAAGGATTTGAAATTAATTATATGTAACAAACACAATATTTTTGATTTATACCTATTTTCTCATAATTTTTGAGCAATTCATCGACGGCTTCCTCATAATCTGGGCTTCTGAAATTTCCTAAAAAGGTTGTGACAACACGCTGGAACGATTTCCACGCTTCTTCCTCATCTGGTGTCAAAACTGTATTGAATGCGGAATCATTGAGCAGTTTTTTGATCTGTGGGCCAACAAATACACCTTCCTTTATCTTTGCGTCAGATAAATTTGGAAATACTGATTTCAAGTACTGGAATGCCGGCCCTTCTTTTTGCAA